TGCTTACACTGAGTGTCATCAAGTAACCAGCATGGCCTCATTAAGGGAATTGCAGGACATAGCTCATTAATAAATGTTGACCAAGACAGCAGGACAGTTAAGAGAAGAAGGGACACTGGACAAAAAGGCAGAAGGTGACGGTCACACACATTTTTTGTCAGACACCAAAAGCGCCCCAATTGAGAGCAGCAGAGATGGAGCATGTCACCTTCACCTCGTGCTCTTTTTGTTTGAACATGCTGAATGCCATTAGTAACGTTTCTCCGTGCATAGCTTCTAAAGACACTTGTCCACCAGGCTCCTTTTGGCCATGTTTGGACCTAGATATATGAGAGTCTTTCTCCCTGCTGTTGTAAGAGGCCACCACCTCATACCAGCAGCAGGAGCAGCAGGAAACTTGCTTATGTCATCCCCTTGTTCTTGCCTTGTATGCTGGGAGAGTGGATGGGGTTTGCCTCCACATCTGTCATTTTGTAGTCAAAGAGCAAAGAAGCTGGTGCTGGCAGCCTAGCACAATTTTTCTATCAGCAGAATAGATTCATGCTTCCTTGTCACCCACAGCAGCTTTTCCGTGAGTGTTCCCTACACCCTCTCCTCGTTCCTCTGTCAGTCATCATTTCTTACGTGGGCTTTGTGGCTCTCTCAGTCCTTCATACTCTGTGCCTTCCCCACCCACCTTGTTAAAGCAGCTCAGTATCTCAGCTGCCACTTGCCAGCTGGCTTTCACCCGGTAGATTTCACTGGATATCACATGGCTCCTCCAGGTCCTTCTGTTTAAGCTCAGCTGCTTTCTGCTTTGCAACTCTGTCACCTCTCACTGGCACTTTGGAGCTCAGCCCTGGAGCAGTGACATCCTGAGCTGCTGGAGTGAGAGGCTGCTTGGCTGTTTTCCATGCCCTGCTGCCCTGGGGCAGCTGGCCAAGCCACGCTGTGCCACCGGGAGCAGGAAGCCAGCTCAGCCCTCACCAGCTACACGAGCTGGTGGATGCAGGGCATGTCCTCACTCGGCTCCCAGCAATGGTGTACGGTGGCTCAGGGTTGTCAGCCCATGCTGTCTTCAGGCTGAGGTTTGGCCGAGCTCGCCTCGGAAATCCTTGTGCACGTGGCTGGGCTTGAGCATGAGGAGTGACAGATGGGCGCAGCCTGTAGTCTTCTCCAGGAGCAGGGGTATTCAGTCTGTGGGCTGGGAGGCATGGAGGGGGGACACAGCCCCTCACTGCCTGCCTGGGTCCTGCTCACCTGGGCATCTCTCTGCAGGCTCAGGCGGGACGTGCCCAACAGGTGTAACACACATTTCGATGCAGTGGCCCAGATCCGGGGAGAGGCTTTCTTCTTCAAAGGTGAGCGCCAGGGGTCTGTGCCTGTGCCACCCTGCAGTGGCTTTGATGTGGCAGCACCAGAGGCAGTGCAGTGTGGGATGGGCTGGAGTGGGTGGTGAGGATGAGCTGGCTGGGGTTTGTGTACTGCTCCCACAGACCCAGGGAGGCATCTCGTACTTGAGTGTGTGACCAGACTGGTGACAATCCAGCACAGCAGTTTTTACTCTGATTTGTCACACTGGACTGCCCGGTGAAGGACTAAAGTCTGACATTTGTGCTACCAAAAAGTCAAAATTGAGGTTGAACCAAGGATGAGCAGAACAGCAACAACACTCCACTGCTTTCTTCCTGGATACCTCCAGCCTTCCTTTCCTCCCACGCTTCACCTTCCCTAATTCTGCTTGCTGTACATCTCTCAAAGACAGTGTGTACACAATTGAGGACCATCTGGTTTTGTGCCAGTGAACACTTGCTGGCACTGTGTTCCTGGGATGCCCAGCTGCTGACGAGGATCCCATCTGTGCCTTTTTAGCTCAGCCGAGCCTGTGCAGGCTGGACTCTCTGGGTTTGTTTTCTCACCTTTCCAAGATGTAAACATGCCCGTGGGTGTTTCTTTGCATCCATGGCCACTGTTTGGCCACCCCAAAGCCATCCACCAAGTAAGCAGAAGTATTTTCATCTCCAGGGATGAGCAGCAGCATCCTGGCATCTGGGTATCACAGCGTGAGCCTTGGGTCACAAGCAAGAACAGCAAAAGTGCTCCAGAGAATTTGGTGTTGCCTGTGCTCTGAAGAACAATATGGGGACTGTTCCACAACATTACTTGTTCCGATGCCAGCTCCAAAAAGACACAGTGATGAAGGGAAACTCAAAGACATGAACTGGTGTCAGGATAAACGGCTGTCTGTCCCTCAGAGGGGAAAAATTGATGAAGTAAAGAGAAATACATTGCGGTGTCTATTTTTGGATATATTTATTGCAGGCCAAAAAGCAGATGTAAAAAGCACCGGGTCAGTGGATGCCAGCTGCACATCTGCTGCCAGCACTTTACTTTCAGCCCCCATTGTTGCCCCCTGAACCATCCTGTGCACCAAGAAGAGGGGATGCCACCTCTGGGGCAGAGTAAATAATCTCTAGTGCTGAGTTTTGTCCCCCGATAGGCATTTTGTTCTGAGCTGGTCCTGCTGGCTCCCTCGATGGAAAGAAGCCACCACGAAGGCACCAGGACTGGAGCTCCCCAGACCTCACAGGCTTGTTGTTTTGAAGGCAATGGTGGTTCTCTGCTCTTTGGAATCACCACTTACTTTGATGAAGGTGCCTCACCACAGACTCCCAAAGTTTTAAACACATTTGGCCTGTGTGTGCGTCTGCATGGTGTGTGCAGCAGTCTTGCCAAAGTCTGGAGAGTGTGGAACACAGCTGGGATCAAAATTACCTGAAATTAAAGCAAGCAATTGCCTCAACCCATCGTCCATATCTTGGTGCAGCAGGACCTCACACTCGGCTTTCATCGTGTTCAGTTTTTCAGCTCAGAGAAGGGTTTAAATTGAGGTTTTTAAACAAATATGAGGTTGTTCTTTTGTTTTTGTTTTTTTTAATTATTTCTGCATGCTAATGGCAGCAGTTCTCCCATGGATCTGGCTTCAGCTGATGATCATCCATGCAACAGCAGCACTTTGGTGAGCAGGCTGGGCCATAGCAGACCATGAGCCCAGGCAGACTGGGGCTGTCTCATTCAGAATTCCTTGCTACTTAAGTGCTTTATTTTCTTTCTTCTTCCTGATAGCTTATAAAAACCCAACCAAAGTCACCAACAGCTCAGGCTATTTATTCCTGACTTTTGGGGTAGATTCAAGGTTTCCCTGCTGCAGTGCCTAACCAGCTGAGCCCAACACTTGCAAAGAGACAAAGTGTCAAAAGTATTGAGGCTTCCCTTTGTGTCTGCGATGAGTCCAGGGCACTTGGAAGTTTAGGTGTTGATCTGCTAAAGAAGGAATTAAGTTGAGCTGGATTTCTTGCTAAAAAAGTGGAAATCTGACCTTATCTAGTGCCTTGCTAATTACAGATGCAGCAATCAATCATCTTTATTTAATTACATATGTTTCCATTGATGTAAAATGGCCACCAAATTTGAATCCTCGGGATTTTTTTGTATTCTTAAAAAGAATCTGTAATTATGGCAATTCCTACCATATTGGATTATTATTATTAATTTCTGTTTCAGTAAGACAGAGAAAATAAGCAATCTGGAGCAGAAGAACGAGAATATGATAAAAAGCCTTATAATTAGAATAAAACTCCCTCTCTGCAGATGTTAAAGTGTCTTGTATCCTGCATTATTAGGCTAGGATCCAACTTCTGTAAAATTTTAAAAGCTGGTGTCACAATTTGCCAGCTCTGGAGAAAAAAAGCTGAGTGTGTGGGACATAGAAATCTGAAGATGCATCTTTGGTTTCTATTGCTTATCTCCCCCCAGAAATTCATGCAAGACCAGGCGCAAATAATGTGCCATAATTTCTAATGGACAATAACAATACAAGACAAAGTTGAGAGTTGCCTCCTAAACATCTTGCTCTGGCTCATGTCACTGTGTGGAGCTCTCTGGAGAAAACACAGCATGAAATGTGTGGCAGAAAGGCTGAGAATCCCAGAACCAACACAAAATTGGGTTTGGAGTTGCCCCTGAAAACCATTAAGACTCCTTGGGAAATCCCGTATAAGGCTCTTTCAGCAGGAAAAAGTTTGTCATCCTTCCCACAAAGAATAAATCTGTTTTCTTTTACAGTATCCAAAACATTTCAGAAATCCCCAAAATACTCTTTCCTAGATGGGGCAGTGCTGCTGCAGGTGTTGAGATGCATTTGCTGGCACCACCAGTACATTCGTCCTAGAAGCTCCACAGGACTGCGGTCTCTGCTTAGTATCCTGCACCTCTAGATGGTACCTAAGTCCTTAACTGCCTCCTTCCCCACCTCAACCCTTCCAGATCTATTCAGATGTTTTCCTCCTCCTTTATTTTCTCACTCCTTTTCTTCACTACAAAACAACTCATCTGGTATTTCTGTTTCTTTGTAACATCCTAGACATTTCCAAACATGAAAGCAGCAGGACGTCCTGTGTGCAGGCAGCTGTGGCTGCTCCAGGAGAGGAGGAACAGGGATATTTTTTTTGGAAGCTTTTGCTTAAGGCTGGCAGTGCCTGGTCCCACCAGCTTGCAGGAGGTCCCAAGCAGAGAGGGAGGGAAGAGCCTCACGCTGTGGCCAGGAGTATAACAGCTCCAGTGCAATGTCCAGAGGATTATTTTAATCCAAAAAAGAAAGGGATTTCTTCTAATGACTGCCAGAAATAGAAAGCAGTTGCAGCTGCTGCTGGAAAGCAGGATGACTCTAAATAATGGCTCCCATCTCACATGCTTTGCTTCCTGCTGCTGCCACCCACCCGACATTCACCCCCCAGGGAAGGTGGGCTGAGTGTGGTTCAGTAATGTCCAGTCTGTCCCTCCAGGCAAGTACTTCTGGAGACTGACTCGCAATAAGCACTTGGTCTCCCTCCAGCCGGCTCAGATTCACCGTTTCTGGCGGGGCTTGCCGCTCAACCTGGACAGCCTGGACGCGGTCTACGAGAGAACTAGTGACCACAAGATTGTCTTTTTCAAAGGTGAGAGCAAACATGGTGCTGGAGGTATAGAACGCGATGCTAGGCAGGAGACACCGGTGCCACATGCTAAACATCTCGAGTGCCGGTCTGAATCCTGTTGTCCGTGAGTAAGGCCAGGAGAAATGAGCTGGCAGGGAGGGCAAGCAAAAGGTAATGGTCATGTTCCCCAGAAAATGAAGGAAATGTCATTGAAGATAAAGTTCAGCCAAATGTAACAAAAATCTGACCTTCTCAAGAATGAAACAGAAGCAGGAACTACCCCTACACACACTCACAGGTGGTGCCTTCCTCCTTTGACCTTTTCTCTTTTCAGTATTTGTTGCTGAGAAAAGAAAAAATCAGGGAATAAAAATGAAACTGAAGACCTTCAGTTTTAATAATTATATTTCTGTTACTCTGTTTTTTTCTTAAAATTACTAATATAATTATCTCTTCTTATTTAAAAAAACTTGCAAGCTTTTATTTCAGAAGCTGGAGGAACAGTTTAGCTCTTGGTTTCTATAAAAATGTCCAAGACCATCTACCTGTGCTGGTTAGATGCCACCCATGCACTCAATGGCAAGCCCTGACTCTCTTTTCACCAAGGTTGTGCACTTGAAGTGCTAAACACATCCCAGTCCTCTATTCTTCCCATTTGGAAATTGCTTTTTGTCTCCCGACCGTTCTGCTTGGAACGTGGTGCAATTATCTGTTTCAAAAGTGCTGAACCAAGCACTTCTGGAAGCAGTAATTTGGTTTCAATTCCCCCAGCCAGGCCAGAGAGATGGCTCATGTCCCACAGAAGCCCCTAGGCTTGCAGAAGGCCTTTCCAAGTGTAGCCAACACCCTCCTGGACCACCAGCACACTGAGCCCTGCATCTCTCCATGGAACAGCCTATGGAAGGCTCTGCCTCAGGCAGCCTGCCCTGCGCTGCTTTCCCAGAGGGAATGGGGCCAGCTTAAGGATTATGCCACCCCTTATGCCTGGCTCTAGATCCTCCCAGTCAGATCTGCAGACAACAGCGGTCTTCAGTCACTTCCTTCTCTCCCTGCTGGGAATGAACATACAACCAACCAGGAGCACAGGTCTAGGGGCTCCTCCAAGCTGCTCAGGAGGCTGGAATTCCAGATGTGCCACATGCACATCTGTACATGTGGCACATCTGGAATGTGCCAAGACATGCATTCTCTGTGTGTGTTAGTCCTGCCTAGCTCCCAATCTCAGAATTTTCTTTCCAGCTATATATTCTCTCCCTCCAGCACTATTTCATTGATCCCTGGACTGAAACCAAAGAACACAAATTACCTTGGCCTCTAAGGTCCTGCTGCTGATACATGGGCATCCATTTAAGGGCCTCCTCAGATATTTCAGAAAACTAAGGAAGGAGAAACACTGTTCCTTAAAATAGGCTATGTGATACCCAAAAGGGCACTGCATGTTCCTAAATAGGTGTTGTGGAAGAAGAAAGACTGTCCCAGTGGTTAGAGAACTATGAACAAATTGAGACGTGGGTTCATTTGCTTGTTCTTTCTTGCCCAAGGTCAGACCGAGGGGGCAGCTGTGTAAGACCCTTGAAGAGCAGTGAGCTGCTTGTATGGGATGTATCCAGTCCCTCTGAATCCTCATAATGAACAGGTCTCTCAGCCCATCTGGCCCTAGAAAGTGGTTATTTCTCTTCCAAAGTGGACTAAACTTGGCTTCTCAGGAGCCACATAGCCTGCAGAAAGTGCCCAGTTTGCCCACAAAAGCTGCTGTGTTTCTTTGGATATCAGGCAGAAATCCAAGGGACAGAAAATCAAATGCCTCCGTGAAATATACAAAAGTGACAGCTGTACTGACGCTGTCAGTGTGTTCTTGTCCTGGGACAGTCACGCTTTCAGCAGCAAAGCAGGGCTGTGTCCATGGACAGCCTGACATAAAGTAGCTATTCAAAGCCAGAGGTTCCCCCCATGGGGGGGGGGAGGAAACCAGAAACCCCCATGGGATGACCCCTTCCTATTTCCATCCTTAAATGACCAGAGCTCAACCCCGAGACGTTGTACCACAGTAGATAACAAAACATTAGCTCACCTCATCTGTGCAGAAATACTGGTTTTGGCTGTGAAACAAATGTGATTTTTTTCTGTGCTTGTTTCCTTTCCACAGGAGACAGATACTGGGTCTTCAAAGACAACAATGTGGAGGAAGGGTACCCACGGCCCATCTCAGACTTTGGCCTGCCCCTGGGAGGAATCGATGCTGCTTTCTCCTGGGCTCACAATGACAAGACTTATTTCTTTAAGGACACCCTCTACTGGTGCTACGATGACCATGAGCGGAGGATGGATCCCGGCTATCCTTCAGAGGCCATTCCGTGGAAGGGAATACCCAGCCCTTTAGATGATGCCATGAGGTGGTCAGATGGTGAGTCCATATGGCAGTTTAAAAAAGCACGGCAAAGAAAATCAGTGCTCTATTGAGCTGTAGCCCCTTCTACCCCGCCTGCCAACACAAACGCTGAGCCCTGATAGGACGTTCCTGGTGACTGGAAGCTGAAGAGAGAGGTGCGATTCCAGCCAGAGCTCCCCATACTGCTCACTAGAGGATTTTGTTATTTTAAACAGGCAACAAAAATATCCTGGGGGGATAATTATTGCACTTTGTTGAAAGAACACAGTTGACATGTGATTTTTATCCTAGTATGGGCTGATTTGTTACTTGCCAGTCTTGTTGTCATTGGATTTTTGGCTGCATATATGAGGATGCAGACAGAAAATACTTTTTTAAAGATGTTTTCCCAGAGTTACAACTTATTGTCTGTTGAGATTTCTCAGTGGTTTCTTTCCCCTGAAAAGACCACAAAAATTTTGTCACAGGAGATATTTACAATCAGCTATTCACTCACAACAAAGTGGCACTTCCAAGGTTTATTTACTGGCTACCTAACAATGTAATGGCAATCACTAAACCAGGCAGAGGGGAAGGCTACTTCCAGAGACTTTTTAAGCTGAATTTCCAAAGCTATTGAGAGTGACATTCCCATAGGTAGGAGTCCTCCTGAGCATGGGGCCTGCTTAGAGAATTTACAGCCTCCCAGTTCAGAGTGGAAAATATGCACCTAAAGCAGAAGGTTCCCAGGGCCCTGTCAGACTCAGATTATTTTTCTGAGCCCAGGGTCAGAAGCACACACCCCAAGTCATTAATGGATAGTGGGGTCTCCAGCTTTACCATGCCCTATTACAAGAAGAGGAGTAGTGCATGATGTGTCCAGCTGTGGGTTCACAGGGCCTTGATGCTACACACGCACAGTACTGGGAGGCATATCTGCTCTGGGACTCGGCACAGAACAGGTGATAGCTCACCATCCACCTCCAGCCGCTGGTGGCTCCTTGCTGATGTGAGAGATCCTGGGCAGGCACAGCATTACCTTCCCTTCTGGAGCATCCCTCCTGCAGCGAGAGGGGATGTTGATAACAAGCAGTGATATCTCATGCGCCTCTGCTCCCCGGGCCTCAGCTGGAGTGGGAATGCTCCTCTGCTGCTCCAAGTGCTCCTCTGACCTTCCTCTGGGACGGCATCCACCGCTACTCACCTCGTGTTTGGGTTTTGGTCTCTTTGCAGGTGCAAGTTACTTCTTCAAGGGCAAGGAATACTGGAAGGTGCTGGACAGTGAGCTGGAGGTGCAGCCCAGATACCCACAGTCCATCGCCAGGGACTGGCTGGTGTGCAGTGACATGCAGGCTGACGCCCCCGAGGCAGCCGGGAGCAGCAGGACAGGAGCGCGCTCCAGGCCGGGACAGCACGACGAGAGCCGCTCGAAGAATGGCTACGAGGTCTGCTCCTGCACCTCAGGCACCCCATCCCTGCGCCCTCACCCCATACCCAGACTGACTGCCAGCCTCGTGCTGGCTGTGTGGACAGCAGCGCTGTTCTGTGTGGCCCTCTGACGGCTCATCTCACCAGCAGGACAATGTCGCAGTGCTCTGGGATACAGCTCTGTGATTGCTAACTGTTGCAAGCAGAAAAAAACATTCCTAGGAACATACCAGTGAAGGGTTTGAATTCTCCATGAGAAATGAACAGTGATTTTGTTTTGGGGTTTTCTTTCTTCTTAATTTTAGTTTAAAGGTCTAATAACAGAGTTGAGTTCTGCATCTTCCTATTCCCCCATTCAGTTAAAGATGAGAGCAACCTCATGTTGAATTTAGAAATGCTTCATAGAGATGTGTTGCTCTGGATTTTTAAACACAGCAAATGAGGGAGGGGATAGCTCCCGGGATGGAGCGGGGACAGAAGAGATGCTGTTGAGATAGATGGTGACAGAAAAGCAGCCCGCAGGAGGTGTAATTATGTGCTGATACAATGTACACATCCCATTGGATGTACTAGGTAGAAGAAATTGTGACTCCACTAAGATGAACTACAAGGTGATCATTATTTACTGTCAAGCCTGCTGTAGTCTGGGTAACCTGTATCAGTCTCTATGGGTCAGAAGCACCTTTGCCTTTCAGAAGGCAGTGCAGCTTATCTTTGTATACAAGTCATTGTAATTTAACAATTTCTCTAATAAACCTTGGCCGCCTACATGGAGATCTCCCAGTCCTGTGCCAGATCAAGCCTGATACCTGCAGCAAGGTACTGCCTGCTGAGGCTCTTAGCAGCCTCTCACCTCTGGATGAGGAGCAGCGCAGCCAAATGAGATACAGTTACAACCACTGCCCCCAACTAATCTGTGCGCACAAATTCTTGGTCTCGCAGAATCCCTGTGTCAGGTTGGCTTATGTTTTGGGAGGAATTAAGATGTATTGCATTTGTCTGTGACTGCCATACCTGTGCTGCAAAGGATGGGCTGGAGCAGGGAAGATGCTGCGCGATCAGCTCAAATTCCTTTTGATGCCTCTGACAGGAGTTTGGAGTGGCAGAGGCCAAGGTCAAGTGCTGCATTACGATGTTCCTGTTTGGGTTTATTCCTCACCGTTTATCAATTTTCTGTGGTGTGATTTGGGCATCTGAGAGTCCTTGAAAATAGTGAGTGAGAACTTGGATGAGATGTCAAAGAAGCCAGGGTCCTCGAGTCTGCTGTTGTCAAGGTGCTGTTGTCATGGGCAGAGGCCGCTGGGACGTAGTCTTCATCTCTGCCCTGCTTCTGCACAAATGTCTTTTGCTGCCCTGCCGAGGCCAGCTTCTCAGGGAGACACGGAGCAGACAGTGTCACTGTGGGACCCAAGGCTGCTCCAATGGCCCTGGTGTCAGGTGTAATCCAAAGCTCTCTGTGGCACAGCGGAAAGGCAGAAAAAGTACACAGTTGCATTTGGACAGAAAAAGGGGGTCACCTCGAGTTTCCCTCTGCTATTTGCATTTTTAAATAGTCCCAAGCACTCACAGGTGTGCTACAACATGATTTGATGGGTCATGAGTCAATGAAACATCCCATTAAACCACTAAAGAGCCTTTAAAAAGATACAAGCAAAAAAATCTCAGGCATAGCAGTTCCCTCTGCTGAGTGAAGCTGCCGCTGCTGTTCAGAGCAGCTCCCCATCCCACCTCTACCAGTTGGGCCAAGCAGAGGCTGCTGGGGCTGCGGGAGATATGAAGTTCCTTTGATTAATTCCCATTGCATTTATCTTCAGTCACGAAGACATGGCTTTTAGTCCTTCAGTCTTAACATCAGCACATTACAGATTCCTCTTGGGACTGCAGCCAGGTAGCAGAAGACACCCTCTCTCCAGCCCTGGGGTACTTGATTGTTCATCTGTTGAGCTTGGAAGAGACATGCTGGACATGGAATTGCAGGGAAGCTGCACTTGCAGTAGCAGCTGGAACAAAAAGCAGTGGAAGCTGTTCACTGTCTGCTCATTCCCCATGTTTACGTCAATCCTCTGGAGCTCCAGCTCACCGGACATCAGCTTTGCTTTTCCAGTGTTTTTGCTGAAGGGTTTCTAAATGCAGTGGTGGGCTTTGCTGCAGCTGGAATTTGTATCTGTTTCAGGAAGTATATCCTGCAATTTAATAGTTCCCATGCCAGGTTAATTGTAGTGAAAGAAGTTAAATGAAACCAGGACACAGAACTAGGATGCCCCAAACCGCTGCTAATCACAGGTTATCAAATAAACCCACAGGTTACAACAATGTTAAAAGCCCAGCTCACAAAAATACCAAACCCCCAGCCAAAAAAACCATTAAAAACTTGGCCTACAAAAATACCAAACAAACCGGCCTATAAAAAACTAAATTTCAAAATACCGGAACAACCTAGTTTCAAAATAATAGGGAACCCAATTTCAAGATACCAAACAAAACCAGGTTTCAAAGTCTCAGATTTAAAATACCAGAATTTTAACCTAACCCAAGTTCTAAAATACCAAAGTAACCTAGTTTCAAAACATCAGAACAACAAGTTCAGATATACCAAAATAACCCCATATCAAAATACCAGATTACCAAGTTCCAAAATACAAAAATAATTCCATTTCAAATTACCAGGATATCAATTTCCAAAATATCAAAATTACCTCATTTGAAAATATCAAACTGCAAAATACTAATTTTCAGATCTCTTATATGGGCAGGATTCCCAAAACCAAACAAATTCTTATTTTCATTTATAATATAGATAGCCCTAATGAGACTTACACCATTCATATCATTACTATTCTTCTCTACCCTACTTAGTCATATATGGAGTATTACTTATTAATCACTAAGGAATAATTAAGTCAATACTAAATCATCCAACTTACCTGACTATGATGCCAAAGCACAAAATTTTATTTCGTAGTAGTTTTCTGCCCTGTTGCTCAAAGCTGTTGTAGCAAAAAAGAAAATACTGTCATTTTGCTGAAGAGTTTTCTTCAATATTGAACCCTTTACTCCTCTTCAATTCAAGTCAGAGGAGCCAAACAGCTGCAACCCCTCTGAGAGCTTTTATACCTGGTGGGATTTACCCCCTCCCTTTTCCCAGGTGCTGTGGCAAGAGAGGCGGACCCCATCAGGGGTATATTAACCCCAGCCTTTGCTAAGGGGCTTCATTCCCTCTCTGGGATCTCCTAAGGTAAGAGCTCTCCTCTTATTTCCATGAAGAGGCTCTTTCAGCTTATATCAGCTTGTTTTCAGCAGGTGC